TTCCCCTCTTGCTTCCTGCAGCCTCTCGGGGACCCCGGGGGCAGCTCTCCGGCCGAAGCGCTCCGCCGGGGGGGCTGGACGCGCCCCGCTCTCCCCTTTCATTTCCTTATTCTGGGGAGTGTCTTCTTCCATCAGACCGGTGAAAAGGGTAGCTTCAGTCGGGGTTTCCCACAGGTTGCCTTGGCTGGCCTGGCCCTGACACCATAAAATGGAGACTTCGCTGCGAAGCACGCTAAGTGCATTTAACTTGTGCATTTTCGGGGTGAGACTGGGCCCTGTCAAATTACAGAAACTCAGGGCAAACTGCAAATACAAGATAGCAGTGAAGATGCTACTTTCTGCAACTTTGATCGGTTTTTTTTATGAGTTCAGAGTTACAGCGAAGAAAAGCAAGACAAAGAATTTTTTCACTGTTCTTAGGTAGGTACAGCCTACCGAAAACCCCATACACTATCTCATCACAAGGGTGCCTTTCCAAGGGAAGATAAAATGCCAGTTCACTCGAGTACAGCATCTTAAACTATAGGCTGTATTTTTAAACAATTTATGCTAGAGCAAGGATCTTCACATATTTAACAAAGCCATCTCCAATATTGCTCATCTTTCACCATTCAGGCTTAGAAGTTTAACATAAAAATTTTCGTAATTAATTCTTACTCTAATATTGTGCAACTTCTTGTCTCTAAGAAACCAAAAAATTACAATGAAACTTGTATAAAATCTACATAAGCTGTATTGCAGGATCGTTTAGCAGTATTCTTTATACTTTCTGATGTAGTTACATCCTCAGTAAAGAGTGTTCAGTGAATGCTAATGCCAACTTTTATTATGACTAGGTTTCTCAGGCTGCAGCAGACTTGAAGCAATTCTGCCTGCAGAATGCACAACACGATCCCCTACTGACAGGAGTATCATCAAGTACAAATCCATTCAGACCCCAGAAAGTTTGTTCATTTTTGTAATTACGTGATCTACTTTGGTATCTTTCACTGGTAAGTTCTTGAATTACGATTCATAAACTGTTCTGTCATTAAAAAATAGCTGGCTTTAAATGAGACTGCCTGTATTAAAAGTATTCAGAAGAGACATCTGACTTCTGCAGCTGGTGTTGGCCTAGATCCCCATTTTGGGCCCCTCCTCCCCTATTCTGGTCGTAGCTCTGTACTGGACACATGCTGTTCGTAAGTATCATGAGTGGCATTTAGCTGTTGCAGAGCTTCCGCCAGTTTCTGTTGCTGCAGCAAAGTAGTAGAGGGGCCGGCTACTACTGAGCTGCTGTTTGAACTAAGCTGGTTGTACAGTAATTCTGCTGTATCTTCCTTCTGTGAAAGGGTGTTTCCCTTTTCTCACATAGGATTACTCGCCTGACAGCACACATGGTGAATCCTGATTGTGGCAGATAAAGCAGACTTCAGTTCTTAAACTTTTAAAGAACACTTCCAAAGATAGGTTAGTGATGGTCTCCAAGAAGAGCGCTGTCCCCTATAGGACGCCCTCTAAACCAAAAGAAAAAAGTATATAGTCCAAGAATTGTATCAAGGCCCGTACTCCACTCAAATAAGCTACTACACGGGTAGCAGTTTAAATAACTAGAAATAGTTGAATAATCATTTGGATTTTCATTCCAAAACTTTTATACGTTCATTAGCACTACTGCTGTCACTTGGAAGACCACTAATCTGGCATTCCTTGAAAATTCTGGTGATTAAATTTTAGACTAACCTATTTAGAAAGGTGAGTTTGAGATTCACAGTAGTCTCACCAAGACTCTTGAGAGTCACAATAATTTGATACTTTGCCCACAGTAAATGCATGATAGTTATACTGTGTCCTTCTTCCCCCTTGCCTTGGATCTGTTGGGGGCGAGAAGCACCTGATACGCAGTTAACCATAGTTCACAATCCTTAGAAATCTCCTAGCGAGTCTTAACCTTGAAGAATTCTGGTTTTGTGGCTGACTTAGATCACCCAAAGAATTGGTAGTTTGCTAGATTTAAGTTGTGTTATTTAGGCAGCTTTATAGAAAGGTGACCACAGTCAGACCGAGTTGTTAAAATTTTTCTCCCCTCAAGCAGATTGCAGAGAGCTTCCAAAAAGTTTGTGTATAAACAAGGTGGTTCATGCCTGTAAAGACCAGAGTAGTAACAGTACAGAGGTTGATGCTTACCTATTTAACAAAAACACTTTCCCCACTGCTTTGAGCAATGAATTACAGCAGTGTAACTGAAATGTGCTTTAGAGTTCTTGTAGCTTTTAAAGTTATTTCTATTGTGAATTTTATCAACCATTCTTATTTAAAAGATACTATTCTTGGACACTGACTTGTGTCTGCACTACTGTAGCTTCAGCTTTAAGCAGTAATTCAAGGAAGAAGTCAGATCACATGTAAGCATTATAGACTGATAATCTATAAAAAGCCAAATAAACTGTACGTTAATCAGTGACACGTACAGTTCCCCAGTGAGCTTTGCCAAGGTCTAGTAATGCCTGGGTGTGGATGTCAGGAAATAATGTTTCCTCTGTCTCACACACACGCGTGCATACACAGGGCATAAAAGGCTTAATAGTTTCTTTCTCAATTACAGCTCTTATCTTCCCCCTCTCTGATTTTGGAACAGAGCACTTGTTTCTGCTGTTAGAGGCAAAAGTCATTAGAACAGCAGTTTAATTACACTACCTATATGGAAAATATCTTTCCTTCACTACATCTCTTGCAAGCACTTCCTCAAAATAGGCAATTTCTCAGTTGTAATCCTGGTGTTTTCACAATGGGCCAACCGTTCATGTTTGCACAGTCGGCACCACCTCTGCGGAGTGAAGAGGAAGTGTAATTTGTTAGTTATACAGACTCCCCCTGCTTTTCAAAGTAGATGCCTGGTATTTCTGTAGGCACCAAGTGACTGGGAACAACTTTTTCTGTCATTCCACTTAGCAATTTGGCTTCCAGGAGACACTAAGCTTCAGTCCTTCCGTAACAGCTTTGATTATCTTCTTGTACCCCTGGGGATAGCTTCATGGTTTTAAAAGTTTATTTTATAAGCTAACAGTTTTATAAAGGAGCCGTGGAAAAAGAGGATTTTTTTCTTCTCTAAATAGCTGTCCATGGCATACTCTGAAGGTACATGTTCTTAGACATAGAGTTGCTTCATTTAGCATTGATACTTTTCTAACTACATTTTGTTGTTTGGTTTGTTTTTTTTTTCCAGATCTTTTAGCATCTTTTCCTAGCTGCTGATGTGTGTATGGGCAGAGTGCCTCGAGGAGTGGCCTGGTTTGAAGTCTGTACAAAAGCTTAGCTTTAACGTGCCAAATCTAACTGTAAAATTGCTACTGTCGTCAAACCTCTTACCATCTACCTCTCCAAATGAACTGTATGCTAGTTACAATACTTCTGTTTCATAAGGGAATCAGTTTTATATGCCAAGCAAAAAAATAAAAGTGTCTTGACTTAGTCTGGTCTTGAAATTACTGTAACAAGTTGATTAACTTCTGGATATGTTGACATGTCACCAGTTACTGCATCACTCTGCAGCAGCTGGAGAGCATATACAGGAGTCTATCTTTAAATATTCCATGCTGCTGCAAGTTTGCCTGGGGTTGATAGTCTTACAGAACAATGAGGCTTCATCAGTACTATATGTAAAGAATAATAGGAATAGAACAGGAAAAAAAATTTTTGGCTGTTAGTTTGTAATTCAACTATACAGCTGTCCCATATCATAGACATTAAATAAATACAAAGAGTAACTTAATTATTCTTTATCTTAAGAGTAATTCTAGCCTAGTAGATGACTTACTCTATGAGCCATCTTACTCTAGGTAAACATGAAAAAGCACTTCTTATAGCTGCATATGAAAAGAAAGTAATTCAAGGAAAACTTATGATGTTTAGCTGCCAGTGAATGTGCAAACTTAAGGCAGAACAGTAGTTTATTCTGCAGGTAATACCAACTCAAGTATAGCTGTCAGGCTGAAGAAGCGTTTTTAAGATTTTAATGGGAAAAACCCTGCTCAGAGACCTCACAAGTTCAACTGAGCAGCATTTTTAGATGAGATAACTTTATATACTTCCGGTAAGCTGGCCTTATGAATTCTTTCCCATCGGTGTTTCTTTCTTTTTATATACAAGAATATCAACTGCTTTAGGTGTATACCTCTTCTAAATATGACATTTACAGAAGAGATGCCTGTAGGAGTCAAGCATATTATTTTTGTAACTTCAGCAACATGGCTATTTTATGCAAGATGTTAATGAAATAAAATACCACAGACTTCCTGGATTGCAGACAGCCTTCTCAGTGTTCTCTAGATAGGAGACCGTTTGTGGAAAACTATCACCATAGTGTCAGGGAACAGCATACTGTAAGTTAGAAAGAGGTTTAAAATATTTATCTCTTACCTGATTAATGGAGGATGCCTGGGTTTAGCTGCTTAACAGAAAAAAAGCTGTATAACTAGAAATACTTTATTTTGAGAATATCTTTAACCAAAATATTTACTGTATTTCATGTTGCAAAGTGTAATTTATCTCTACAGCACAGCAGCAGTCATGGCAAATCTTCGGTGATAGCTAAATTACAGGCTGCTTTGACATTGCCATAGTTTTTCCTGCTAAACTGGAAAAAGAGTCACTGTCCTTGTCATGTTGGATTTAGCTACAAACACAGGAAGAAAGATGCGTCCTACTCGATCTGCTCCTGTATAAAGTTTTAATGTTCGCAGTTTGTCTTTCTGCAGACAGATGCTGTTCAGTATCATTATTGTTAGTTAGGGAGTCTGAGATAATCCATAGTTCAAAGCAGTTGTATTTCTGGTCACCAGCAATTGGCAGATAGCTGTTCTTATAAGTGAAATTTTCTTCTACTTGTGTCCATTTCTCGGCGCTGAAATTTAAGAGAAAAGTTATTAACCAGAAAACTCGTGCAACAGGATACAAACAACGATGACGACTCCAGTTTATAGTAGGGTAGGCAGTGAAATGTGTCACAGTTACAGTGTAGTTGAGTCTTTATAGTCAGCTTTTCAAGACTAACAAGGGACAAGAATTGGAGATTAGTGATTTAGAACTAAAGAACATGTAGCAGTTCTCCGTCTACTGACAGTAGACAAAGTGTCTTTAAAACAAACAGGATTATTGATTTCATGGACTACACCAGAAGTATTAGAATTTTCCTTCCGGTATAGCTTGGATACTCACTTCTAAGCTTTGCCAATCAATCAACTGCAATTCCATAGTAAAAATGACTGGAAGAGTAATTTATCATTGCCTAGAGTAATACTTCCATTTCAGTTGAAGATGTGCGGAGGTCAGTGTTACTCTCCATTCACTATTAAGAAGTGACATTTATGTAAATAGCTTAATTATTTTTACATTATGGTTCTCGCACTCGCCTTGCACAAAAATAGCTCTAGTCAAGTTTACTAGGCTTCCAATAATAGTTCATGCCAGGGAAGCATTTTTCACATTTGCTTAGTATATGTTAAAGAAATTACATTCTGCAAATAAGTAGTCATGGTATATTGATATTCATCATCCTTGCTATTTTTATTTTTGACTTGCAATATAGCAGAATGCTTCTACTTTGCATATTTCTCAAAATACACCTCTGAATATTTCAGTTAAACACTTCCGTATTGAGAACTGCGTTAATGCCGCATTTTTAGGCTAGGATTTGTGGTTACATTTCATGTCAGATTTAGTCTCCCTTCCCAAGCAGGACTGTTATCATTACTTAGACATACCTTATGAATCCATTCATATTCTCCAAATTTGGAATCAAAGGTTCCTTTTTGGAGAGACCTCAGCTTTAATGTAAAACGTGGCCCAAGTTCTTGAATTCCCACTTTCTTTTCACTCTTGAAGATATATCTTGGGGAAGAAAAAAATAAAAATTAGGAAGTAGGTTAACAAGAACATTCTCTCCCATTTGTGAGTTTTGCGGAAAACGTCACCTGTGGAATCTGAAAAAGATGTAGTCTCGCTGGTTGTGAAATGTAGCTACTTGTCTTCCAATGAACTGAGGGTCATGTGGGAAGAGAGAAGCAAACATGCGACCAACAGAATGGCCGAGTCGTGTTGTAAAATTATTCAGGATTACTTCAGGTACGTGTTCTGTGGGCTCT